CTTTCCTTTCATTCTCGTACTGCCCCATCCAAATGGGTATACGAAAGATGGCAACCAAAACCGGCGCACGAAAGTGCATGGCATATCGTTGTACAATCTGAAACTGACCTGTTCAGCAAATTCTCATCATAGTCCCTTTATTTCCATAATGCGTGAACTTACTTTACTCAAAGTTTACTTATGGAACATTCTTCGTCCAGGACACAAAACTAGTGTGCAATGAAAGTGCTTTAGTAATAAGCATGGGGTTACTACTTTCTTGAGTATTAGGGCATAACAATACGCCGCCGAACTGTACAATCTCGGAAAAAATGAAATCTCGCTAAAGGAAAGCACCACATGACAACCGAGCTGTTTAATCACTGAATTTTATGCAATCTAAATTGTTGTTGGTAGTTTGCCATGCCGTTATCCTCGCATGTACTTGCCACTTCTTACCAAATAGCGCTTATATCGTTCGGTAGCGTCTACCCCAGGTAGTTCTGATTGTAGTATATAATCTTATATCCAGAGGTATTATGTTCTTTCATGTTTCACCCAATGACAAATAGTGAGCAGAAAGTTTTGTTTAGGCACATTCATCAAACATCCGTGCTAATCACGTGCTGCCTAATGTTTTGCGTTACTGCTGGTCACTGATCAACGTCACAACGTCGAGAGCCTGTTGGTAGTTGTTAAATTATTTTGATAGCAAAATATGAGAAACGTACGCCAATTCATCCAGCAATCGTTGTCGTTCTTCGTGAACTTTGGTGTGTCTTACAGTCAACTGATCGAGCAGGCATTGGACTGATTGTGGAGATCTCATTTCCTCGCTGTTCATAGAGGAGCTGAAAGAGAGAAGCAAATAGTCCGATATAATTTACCAGTAAATTTGAATAGAAGCAATCCAATTAGCATTACATCACGTCTGTCCAACAGAGTAGTACATTAGCAAATAAATTTCAGTAGTTCAACTGGCTTACTTGATGGCAATTAAAAATCGTTGTATCTCATTCCAGAAGCCTAGAAAAACCAAACCAGTCAGAATGATTTTGCAATGTGACTACTAGAATCGTTTTATGGAAGAATAATGCGGTGCATCCCCATATATTCAATGACCAGCTATGACTCTACGCTCGAATCATCTCAACCCCACTCTACCTAGACCTGGCTAACAACTGTAGTAAGGATCGACAGCTTAAATGTTTGGAACAGTAGGCTTTTAGTCACGGATGCGAGTTTACATCTAACCGCGAACGTCAGTCCAAGAGAATTATTGAGTCTGACTCAAAAATAGTCCATATCACCTTATTTCACTCTTTCCCACAGTCGCACCTTCTCTCGATCCCATTGTTCCAACAAC